AGCACAATCATTGATATCTAAAAAAGCTCGGGGAAAAGAATCTCGATAAATGAAAGCGTCAGGTTGATCGAGCCCCTCTTGCACAGATTCAGGCGACCGCGTCGCGGCAATTCCGGCCAATTATACCGGTAATGCGACAGAACGGCGATTGCACGGCAAACAAATTGTCGGAAACGAAATCTCGCGACAAATAATTCCGGTAAAAGCAACGTTTCACTCCCGAACGCATCAACGGTGGATTGCAGAGGCGTCGGGAATACGCGCCGCGGAAAATTAAATGTCAAATTAATGCGGACGATAAATTCGCCGGGGCGAACGACGAGCGCCAGCAAATTTACGGCGTATTATCTGGAATTTAATTCGACGACACGTAAACGCGCGACCGATAAGACTCCCGGAAGAGAAGAAAGCGGACGAAGAGCTAGCTCTCCTCCCGAAAGCGGAGAATCGTCCTGATAACGAAATCGGTCCATTTTACGAGTGTTAAATTCCTGGCTGAAGCTGCTCGTACTACTTATGACAAATTAACCGACATCAAGGAGTTATTTTGCGATTTTCAATTTTTCCGTCACAAAAAAATCATGTATCAAAGAAAAAAAGAACCACAAATACATTAAAACTGAAACAATTTTAGAATTCTCTTCTTCGTCCTCGCATTGTTATTAATATGTACGCTAAAATCGCGTTGCATTTTGAATGGTATAACGCATCTTGGTGGAAAGACGAAGCGAAAATCGGAAACGCGATGAAAATGAAGCCGATCCCTAGCGCTAACAAAGCCTTCTCGGAATCAGCTTTGTTACCTGAGATGTCTATTCACGATCATGCTCAACAGCCAAAGGTGCAAGGAAGCAAATTTAGTACTGAATCGTAATCAGACGGGACTGTTATATTGTAATTTAGGATTTGGTGTCCTCTGAATTCGTGAATGTACAAGCTTTCACGCGAGAACCATTGAATAATTAAATAATAAATATAGAAAATTTTATGTTTTACTAACTGGTAATAGTATAAAAAAAATAAATTGTACAAAAAAATAAATCTTCATTACCCTAGAGGCAATAGAATTCATGTAGTTTCTGTTTCAGAAACATTTTATAAGTTATTAGGAATGAATTTTCTGATTATGCAAATCGGCCAAACGGAATATTAAAGCTGTCACGTTTTCAGATTAAACTTTCGTATCAGAATAACGAAGCATCTAAACTCCAAATTAGAGTTTCTCATTTTCTAAATTCTAGACGAGCAAATTATTCGAAGTTTATAATAGAGCAATAATTGGTAGCTAATTTGTTATTCAGAAGCACGTTCAGCATTCGTTTATTATTATGTTAGTTTCAGATTCGTTTTATATTTATCGCGATATATTCCGTTCTCGTATTGCGATAAAATAAGGTTGTATATATTTCAGAACGCATCTCGCGTTGCATATAAAGCAAGATGTTATCGAGCGATGTACCGCAAAGATGCGTTTAAAATTTCGATGAAATTTCGGGATCGGATAGATACAGTTTATGCATACCTCACCCGTTCCATCTGACTGTACCATCTCAACAATCTATAACATATTCGGGAGTAAATGTGCATCAATCTTCCTATAATAAAATATAAATTTACATGTCTTCGAATAAAGGGTGAATTGGCAACTTAGATAACTTATTGAGACTGCCAAACTTCCCAAAACTTTCGGGGAAAAGTTTTCAAGTATCCGTGGACCTTTCCTGAGACAAGCATATAAAGTTGCGGCAAACAGCAAGCGCGATTCTTCGCGAATCGAGCTTAATATCGTGCCGAAAATTCAATTTGGCACAAAAATGCACACGTTTTTAATTAACGCGATACAAAATTATCAAGTATCGCGTTTTTTGTCGCGAATACAGGGCACGTTTTAATTCCGAGCAAGCACTATAAGCAAATCGCTTATCGCACGGTCGGTTGAATTCGAAGCAGAATTTCACCTCTCGGCGACAATATCGATCGATCCGGGAAAGATTCGCTAAGAAATCGCTTCGACCGATCGACTCCGGAACCGAATTGAACATTTGCGCGATGCCGGAAACTGCTTAAGCAAGGGAGGCTCAACATTATCGGGAAAGAAAAAGCCACGGACGACTAAACACAAATACAGGAGAGAAGCGAAAAAGGGAGAGATACCAAAAGAGAGAGAAAGAGAGGAAGGAAGCAGAGCGAACGAGAAGTCAAAGCTGCACCAGGCAACTTTAGCTACGAGCCACGATCGATGTGGTCGTTGCAGCCAGTCGACGGCAAGCATTGTTGTTGCATGTGGGTCAACCCAGGCTGCTTCCGGTGACGACACGCTGACATAACGACGTACGAAACGAGGGGAGAGAAAGAGAGCGGACAGAGAGAAACAGCTGTGAAAGCAAAGTGCCGTAATGCGAATAGAAAGGAGACGGCGTGATTTGCGAAACAACAAGGAGTCGTCGTGTCAACATCTTTAGGTCTGAAAGGCGCGACCCATCGCCTTTAACGTTATGTCGGGAGCTAAATGACCAGTTTGAGGATTCTCGTTAAGGATAACGTCTTAACCCTTGTAATTGCGTAACTGCATGCAATTTGAACTGCTATTCCCTCGCTGGGAGTTCCGACACGATGCGTCGCCTAATGAAGGGGAATGCGTCGTAAACCCTTAATTAAAGGGGATCGTGAATAAGGAACGGAACTTGATGTCAAATACCGTTAGACCGTCTTTAAAAGGTGAAAGATGAAAGCTGATGAATTTATTAAACGCGGACATATTCTTTCAAACTTTCGACAACGAAGAGGATATTATATATACACAGAAAAACAGTATCCTTGAAAGAATGCAAATATGCCTTGATTCAAGTATATTTTATTCTTACAATAGCGCCAAATATAAATAATTTTTGATAAAGAATAATTTATCCTTAAAACAAAATGCAAAATATTCTTGGTTGAAGCTAAAATTTACTTATAAATATTGCAAGGACAAGTGACAAGTGTGCATCGGATATAAGCGGTACTTTCAAATATATATAATAATTCTTAGTTCAAATGTGACTAAGTTTGTTTTTACCATATGCGATTTTTAAAACAAGACTATATCTTAAGAATAAAATATACTTTACACAAACTTATTTATTATTAAGGCAAATGAAAATGTGTGATTACAAAGAGCATTCTATGCTTAAATCAATCAAATAGCGTTCAAGAATAAAAATATACTTGAATCAAGGATTCCTTTTTTTCTGTGTATAAATAAGTGTTAATAGCGTTTAAAATAGTATTTTTCCCTAATCACCTAGTTCTGTCAATAAAATAACTCTCGGTATATAACTGCAATAATCTGATCGTTTTAACTTCATCTCTGTCGAAATATAGATATTACAGCATTTGTTGACTCTAGGAGAAACGTAAAGTTTGGGTACGTATTACATCTCTCGTGTCTCGAGGGAGAAGTTTGCGTCGCTAATGGCAAATGATTGATAATTTAGACTATTTGGTACCGTTTGGGAATAGCAGACGCGAGATACGACTATGTCAACAGCACGAGTTGTTGAAGATCCAGATGTGTTGAACCCGCCACTTCGAATTTCGGATATATTCGTTTGCGATGAAACGGACGCGTTTCCCTTATCGTCGCTGTACAATTTGGAATTGTGCACTCTCAGCGGTGTCAAAATGTTTACGCAAACTTGCATATCATCGTTGATACGGGTCGCATTAATTCGATAACGTGCTAGTTTACGAGTATTACAACGCTCTTCTATGAAATGAAATGAGATAGAGGGAGAAAATACAGCTATCGATAAAATATTAATCTACAAAATGTGTATATCGGTTCTCGATGAATTCATTTTCACATAACAAGAATACGCATATAACGCGATGTGTTAAATATTACATTATCCGAATAAATTCGTTTCATTCATATAAATAAATCTTTTTGTATACATATATGAATAAATTTTTATGAAGAAAAAGTTTTTCTCTTTCCCTTTCTCTCATTCGCGCGCAAAAGTAGTATGAATACTATATTGGATGAGTCTTATGTTAGCAATGAAAGCACAAAATTTCCATTAAAAGTACGATGTCCATTAGAAACTAGGCTAAGGATAAAATATGAATATGGTCTACTCTACTGGTTCGCGGTAGAGCGAACAAATGGTTTTCTTTATTTTCGAAACTTTGTTGCAAAATTATCCCCATCGAAAACCCGTGACGCCTTGTTAAAGATGCAAAAATTGTAATTTGCATCTGGTAGTCGGCACTTTTAAGTGGGTTAATTCCGTGACAGTTTTGCGTACTGCGAGTTCACTTCTTGCCTTCAACCCTCCCCTGTTTTAAGGTCTTTGTTAAACTTCTTATTTCCGTTCCTTAATGACGTTAAGAGTATATTCTGAAGGAAATTTTAAATTGAAATTTGACTTCGTTAATGAGGTTTTAATTTTGAACGTATCATGAAAATATATTACGAGAATACGGCAGAAAGTGAGTGAGATAAATTTCACAGTAACTGACGCATATTTAAAGCTACTTTAAAAAGTATGAGTCCAGGCGGAAGTTGATACCGCTGGAATTTCAAATAAGTTCCGAACAATGTGTATGTAAGTGTGTTTAAATCTGCAATAAAGGTAGCCGGTGGACAATCGTCATATGATATATATTAATATATGAAAAATTTTTCGCTCAAAGCATGTAGAAAATAATATAAACCGTAGTAAAAAATCGTAGGAGCATTGAGAGCAATTAATCGAAGCTTGTTCCACATTATTGCAAAATTCATATTTTAGACGGAACAGCGTTACAGCGTATTTAATAACAAAGTTTAAAGTTTTTACGAGAAATGCCTTTTCGTGGGTCCGGTTAAAAACTTCTCGATATACGTAATTAATTCGAGATCCGCCATGACTCGAAACCACTTTAATGTCCGCGTTAAAAGCATAGGCGGGATTGAGGGAAAGCCTTTATAAATTATTCGTTACGTTCGTAAAATTAAAAGTTGTGTGTAGACTTACCGATCTGCGAAGTTTGTAGGAAGAATTCGCGTTTTGTTAAATTCCCACGAGTCTGTCCGCCACCACCTGTTACAAAAAAGAAAGAGGACATAAGTTAACGATAGATAAAGGCAATGAAGTAGCATAAAAAAAGGATCAGCCGTAAGACAGGCTTATCCGGCGATTTCGTTCGTTGTGCCAGACCTTCATGTTTGATACGATATCGTCGACATCTCACATAAAAAAAGTCTTCTGCAATTTATCGAATCCGAAAAATTTCGTCGGGTTTAGAAAAATTTCGAGAAAAGAAAGAGCACTTTTAAATTATTTTATGCGAATGTATTTACAGAAAAATTATTACATTATATTAGTAGATAAATAAATATGCATATACGTTATTCTATAATTGTGTATTAATTGACAAATTTATTATATTGCGACATTGTATATACCATAATACAAATTTTTGTGATTTAACATGAAAGTTTAATAAATAAGTCTAATATACAAGCTTGCAAAAATATGAGAAACTAGCAGGAAATAATAAAAGAAACTCGTATAAAATTTATACACACATGCACATATATGCATATGCAATAAATATGCAAGCTCGAACAAAAAATAAAGAGCAAAATTATGTCTTGATGTCTAGATATATTCTTTCACAGAACGTAGATTGGCGGGTAATTGCGTAACTAATAACGAGCTCATGGCAAATTCTCCCGTGTGGTGAAAAATTAACCCCCGTCGCGCGATCTCGAGTTATAAAAGAGGAGAAAACAAAATAGAGGAGGAAGAGAGGGAAAAAAATAATTCAGCGGACAAATATACGAAAAGAACTTACAACGGGCATAGAATTTCCCGGGACAATCCGATTACATCCGCAAACGGCGACGGTGCGCGAACGCGAATTCAACGCGACGTTTGCATGCGTAATACCAGTCGGATACGACTTAATTACACGGAGTGCCATAAACCTGCGTTGAATCATTGTCACAATCTTCTCGATTTACGCCGGCCGGCGCCGCGCCGCGAGCAATGGATTACCGGGCCGTTTCTATCGCATGATTTACGCCCGAATGTACTTTGCATTCCATTTACGAAGAGGGAAAGGGTTCGTGCGCGGTTTGCGCAAAGGGTTGGTTGGGAGAGAGGTGGTAATCCCCGGGTCCGCGGCCTCATAGTTTAAGCCCCATACATTACGCCTTATTTACACGCGTATGACAAGTTTCTCACCCTCTGCCCCTGTTTCTATTTCCGTGTTTCGACGCATTAGCTTGCATGTGCGTTGAATTCGTCAGCGCTCTATTGCGTCGTGTTGCGATTAATATGCATAATATGACCGCGTTCTACAGCGTCCCCGATAATTCGCGCGTAAACCGAACAATTGGCGCGATATAAAAGCTCGTAAAGCTCGTTCTTAGATATATTTCTTTACGATAATAGCGTATCCGCGTTAATTTATTATCACGAGGATTTATTCTTTATATCGCGCGATCCCCAGCTTGCGCTAAATCGCAAAGATATAGAACCGGTACACGTGAGAAAGCAATAATTTATCATTTTCACGGCACACGCCTTTGTATAAATTGTACGCTTATCTTTTTCTTATGTTCACGTATCAAAGTGCGAGGGAGATTAAGTAAGAGGAACGTAACAGTAACAAGTATATCGTAATTGACGGTAGACACGCGCGTAGAAAGCTTATATGTGCGATAAAACATGTTCTAATGTGACAATGAAATGTACCCAGGATTATAAAACTCAGGATGTAAGGTAATTGCCTAGTTAACAAAGTTGCATATTTTACAGAACAAGGATTAAATCAAAGTTGCAACGCATTATTAACTCTACTAACTTTAATGCCGTCGTATACAACGGCACGACACGTTTGTAATGTTACATGGTTAAATAATGCTCAGTAATGTTGCAATGCACCATGAAATAATGCAGCAAAGTACAACAACGACCACTTTGTTTATAAATCTTAATTTCTATTGTGTGGAGCGAATACGGCTATTCGTATTATTAATCGTCATTAAATCGATGTTTACAAAGTCTTTCGATAATGTGCCAATCGAGTTGCGCTATAAAGGATTCAAAGAATTTAATTAAAAGTAAAACATTATTAACAACTTTTTACGCAAATAATATCTTCGAAAACAGTTCCTCACTTTTTTTTGTTAAACTTTTCATTTTACGATTACCGCTCACCTTGACATTTTAATAATCTTTTGAAGGACATTTTTCTCTCCGAAAGCAATTTGAAAACTTTATTGTACGTAAAGCGATTAAACAAAAAATACTTCATAAATATTGTACTCTAAATTAAGAAATATAACGTTATTAATAAGGCAATAATATACGATACGAGAGAATGCAACAAGAGAGAAATAATTTTAATCGTTTAAATGTAATTGATAAAATGCTATAACAATATTTTTATATGTGAGAGAAAAAGCAAAATGTAATTTTGAAACAAATTTATAAAATTAATTTTGTGACACTATAATTTAATAATCACTACTTCGTCCTACGGCGCAGCCTCTTATCAAGAGAAATGTGCAATATTTCTTATCTCGAATATTCTTACTAATTTTCACGTAAATTTTAATTATGAGTGGATATTTTGCACCACGGTGCGAATTATTCGTTGAAGTAACCTTGAGTAATTAGAACTTCCTAACCATGTGGATGATCTCCCTTGTAACGGATCACAGTCTGACGCCTACCGCGTACTGAACTTGAAGGATGGATCAAATTCTCACACATACGTAGGCACGTGTGAGAGTTGTTCGTTCATGTGAATCACGTTTCTGTACATATACACGGAAAATGGAATTTGTACACCCGAATCCCTAGCTCTCGGAATTAAATGGACAAGAGCCATGTACGTTCAATACGCACGTAGTAACTAAATTCCGACAATTAAACGTCTACCGAGCGCGATCAAAAAATCGAAGGCAATTACCGTGAAAAAAAATTGAATTTCTTGCATTAAGTTCTCGTTTACGAATGTAGAATGTATCACAATAGAATATATATGTGATGTACTGTGTACTGATCCTTTCGCGATACAGGATTGATCATTAATCGCTATTTAACCACTATTAATTAAGATTTATGACACACTGTACGCAATCTTAACATTATCATCTATTTAATATGTACTTCTTCTGTTTTTGATAAAATATTAAATAATATATGTTTGTAAAAATTTGAACATTTTATCTTTACAAGAAATAATATGTCTATGTAATATCGCTGCTAGATAATCGTAAAATAACTTCTACACAAAAGAGAAAGAAAGAGAGAGAATAAAAAAGAGAGAGACTAAAGAGCTAAATATTCAATGGAATCTTTGAAAATAGCTTGTTAAGAGAACTATAATGGGCAGAACCAATGTATAAAGAAGAAAGAAACTTTAAAACCTTTCGCGGAGGAAAGTTTATAAATCATTAAAAGATGCGCTTTGTGCAAATTCAATATAGTTTTACAATATTGTTTAATTTTCATGAAAACATTGAAATTAAACTATATAAATAACTTTTATAACAACGAATTTCTAGATTATTGTCATCGTACAATCGTTATTCGATTACAGGACAAAATAATTTTACAATGGCAACCGATTTTATGCACGCATCATATCTGCATATACATATTTATACATCTATAAATTTACATATGCGGTATATTTGTGAATTCATATATTAATTATCCCAATATTAATAGCATAATCAATGCATATATTTCATAGGCAATGACTAATTCGTAACGATCGAAGTCACATTGCGGTACGAATGGTTGTACAACGATACCGTCGATGGATAAATCGCATGATAGATACTGTTGATTCAACTATAAATTATATATGTATGTGTAATTTTCATGCTAACCAGTTAATCGCACCACAAGCGTGATCGTATTGCGTCAAATCGCGCGTTGTATATAATTACTACATCGAATATTCCGTCAACATATCACTAAATCATAACATATTCCGATAACAAAAAGGATTATAAAATATTCAACACACATCGTCATGTTAATTTCCGAAAACTTATGCATTTACAAAGTCCAAAATATAGTAAAACTATTATTGTATCTCCTAACAATTTTTTGCCGAGCTTTAATAATTTATTTTAGTAATATATATTAATTAGTGTCTATAAATTTAACTCTAAATAAATAAAATCATTGTATATGTTTGCCGTTTCAATATTAACAATGTTTTTATATTTGTTAAACTAACCTTCCAGATAAATGTTCTTTGCGACAATGAGAACGTGATCGCCAAGTTCTCAACAACTCAAATGAACAAGAACCTCCAAACAACGGTATGCCGTTGATTTGCAAACCATATACAAAGTTTCACTTAGCATATCAACACATTATGCGGTACATGAGACAAAACATAGTCCAACAATGTATTCTGCAGAGAAATACGTTGATATTCGCACGCAATAAAAACCAACGCAATATAATTCATTAGAAGGAAATTAATCGTTATTTTAAATATAATTGGAAATCAATTGGAAATCAATTTTCACACTTTTTAAATAATATTATATATTAATAATAATATATTATATTATTATTATATAATTATTTGTTAAAATAATATATTATTTATCTCATATAAATTTCATTTAAACAAATATAAATAATTTAATACAAAATCGTTTCAAATTTACACAATTTCCAAGCTTCCATATAATTTGTTATTATCCAAAACAATATTTAAACAACGTTACATTGAAAATGTAATGCGATAATAGCCTATTTTAACTCTAGACTAAATTGGATTGAGATGCAGAATCATAAAACGTAATTTAAACTTGAAACCGCGTATCAAGTCGCATCAAGTTATTTTATTCATAGCGCATCATGCGCAAATGCGGGCAAAATTGGAATCGGGTTTATCGCATCAACCGGGGATGCAGAGAGGATTTGTTAAAACGTCGTATCTGCGCCGCGTCAGGGTCCGGGTCAGCTCGTAACAGTCGAGCAGTTAATGCGACGAAAGTCATGGCGTTCTCGTGCACCACAAAGAGAGAGAGAGAGAGAGAAGACTACGCGGCAGA